TAGCAGCCCCTAAGGTATTTAATATGTCATCACTGAATGGTAAAATGAAATCTGCTGGCTCCTTGCATGGACACATAATGCTATCAAAGCGTGGCTATTAAATAAATACCAGTTACTCATGGCTGATGAAACATAAATTTCTGAAGCGTTTCTTAGATTAGAACAGCTTTGCAAGGCCTGTAGATTATGAGGGGTGGGAGGTTGAAGGGAGGGGGAGGAGGGGAAAGTAAGGATGGCGGAGAAATTTGTCTCAGCCATGGTTTGTGCTGTCCTTGCTTTTATTCAGTATAAGGGAACTTCATGTGATTTCTGAAAAGGGGGGCGGTGGAGTGGTGGGGTGGGATTAAGACAAGATAATTTTTAAAAAATCAAATCAAAAAGAATTTTGTTCAAATTAAGGTGGTCTGAGTTAACTGGACAACGATGCCCTCTCTCTGTTTTCTCGGGCTAATCACTGCAGAGACGCAATGCCACCACTACCGGTTAAAGAGCTCGGCCTAATATGTACAATGAAGGGAACAGACCGCTCCTTCGGCTTTTGTCACGTCTCTAAATCATGTTTAGAAGAGGATCCTGAGACCCACAGTGCCCTGCCCCAGCACTTTCATTTTGGACAGTGCCTCTGTTTCAGCGTCCTTTTTCTGGGACTCTCTAAAGTAGTTTGAGCAAAAAGCCCTTTCTGAAATATACATTTGCATGCTTGCAAGCTGTGAATTTTCTACTGAAAAGCGCCTATATGCATAAATGGAAATAATATCAATATCCTGTAGTTTAAAATAATTACATAGGATTCAACTGGGCATATTCGCAGAGACAACTACCCTTTTTTTAGTTTGGCAAGACAGATTTCATAAGGTGAATAAAATGCCTATTATGTAAGTACAAACATAATTAACTTTCGTGACATTGATACATATCGTCAAAAGTAAAAATAATGTTTCATTCTTAATGGAAGTCCAAAATTTTATTTTTTAGTCAATACGGCAGAAAGGAGACTAAAATAAAATTATTATATGTTGTCAATAATGCCTTTCTATCATTGGATCACACTTTCCCCAGTTCCAAAATGTAAAAAAAAAAAAAAAAAAAAATTAGATACTTATTTCCTCTAACTCGCCCCCTTCAGCTTCATCCAGCACTGAAAAGTAATGTAAATGCTGCTTTGACCCTAGAAACACCTTAAAGCATTAAAAATTCAGTAGGCAGTGCTATAGCTGCATTCAAGAAGAAGCTCTCCCTGCTTGCTGCTGAGCTTGGATTTGAATAAAATGTCCAATGTTAACAAACAATACCCACGTTTGGCACTTTGTGTATTAAATTGATCAAACAGATTTTAGGAGGCACAATGCACAATTTGTACAGACCTGATTGAGTTAATATAATATCAGCAAATTTTACATCGAAATGATTCTGTTTCTTTTCTTTGTGTTTAAAACCAGCACAGATTACAAATTTTAATGATCTGAAAATGTTTGGTATACAAAATCATGCTTATTTCAGTATTAGCAAAAACACAAGAAATTTTTCAACACAAACACCCAGCTGTGTCTATTTTAAAAGCAGTTCAATGACAGCTTGCACTTATGAGCATGCAATCAGCTAATTTCGCTTTTTTTTCTTCTGTGTTAATCAACACTTTCCTTCCTGCATATCAGAGTACAAATAGTATAGTTACTCCACATCAGTAAATGTTTACGTAACCTGTCCTTTCCCAAGAATCCGGTTACACCGAATCATTTCACGCTAGACCGACTACGAAAACGTACGGGGCCTGTCCACCTCAGAGGGAGCCCTGTGTACCATTATAAGTGATGATGAGAAGAGGGGGTGGGGGGGGGGTGAAAGGAAGCGAAATAGGGAAGAGTAGAAGGAGAAATGGGGGGAAGAGGAGGAAAGGGAAAGAAGGGAGGAGAAAGGGATGGAGAGGGATAAGAGTGGGGGAAGGGGGGTACAGAAAGGAGGTAGGAATCAGGGAGTAGTGGGGAAAAGAGATAGTACTGAGGTAGTAGGGAGGAAGAAGATAGTGAAAAGGAAGTACACTGATCTTACCAGTCCCAGCCACTGTATTAGTAATTCTGAAGAACTTACCACCTTGGAGTCAACATATAGTGTCATACTAATGTCAACCTTGACTTTTTAAACTACATGAAGTGTTTTATTAATTAGAAACTTGACTTTAAAATTTTACAATTAATAATTTCTCTTATTATTTGTTAAGTAGGGGCCACATAGGAAAAATAGGATAACTACATTAAAATGATGTGAGGTCATTTGAGGTTAGCCTAATGTTTAGAGCTATCTCATTGTATTCTGGATGGCAAATGTTCATCATTGACCAGGTGTAATTGTTCTTATTTACGGTTCCCCTGCTGCTGGCGCTCTCTCTCACACACATTCACACATACACACATACACTCGTGATTACATGGGATTGGGGTGGGGAAAAGGACAATTCTTCAACCCTTCGTTCATTTAGTTTCCATTAAACGCATACTTTATATTAGAGATGAGTTTAAGGTTTAGCCACCATATATACTCACCTATTTTCTTTTGACATTTTTCTAAATACCAGCTCAAACTAAATGTCAGGTTGTCTTCGCCCTACCCCACGACTTTATGAAGGCGAAGAAATGCTCATATTACAAGACTTATTATATATATATGTATAATATATGTATATATGTATGTATATATATTATGTGACACGGAAAATATCCTTTCCATTCATGACTTTTCCCTCACTCTCCCCCTCCTTTCCTACTTCCTCGGTGAATTGCATGTCAGTGAAGGAGTGTGTGTGTGTGTGTGTGTGTGTGTGTGTGTGTGTGTGTGTGTATGTGTGTGTTGGGAGGGGGATTAAAGCATCCGTTGGTCTGGATAATTAACACTAAGTTCTAGAGCCTGGGAAATGTTGGGCCCTAATCTTGGATTTTTATCTGTGGGTCAGAGTAAAAGTCCCTCTAGGAATTTCCACAGTACCTCAGTCTTCCAAAGGAACCTTCGGGGAATTTAAAATGCAAGTAACGAATTTGGAGGGCCAAGATTTCCACATCCTGGATGAAACTTGCAACATGAATTGCTTGTTGATGGGTATCGTACTTAGGTGGGTTAAATTAGGTTTTGAGACCAGTGGGAAATGGAAAATAGGGAAAAGGGGAAGGGAAAACAGAGGGAAAACTTCCCAGGAAACATATACCCATCCTTTTGGTACAATTTAAGGAAAACAGACAAAAGAAACAAAGAGGGAAAAAATCGAAAACACCTCCAGAGCAAGTAGTTCTTGGACAAAAGGGTCCCGACCCGATTACAAACTGAACCCTGACGGAGCCATGAGGAGGAAAAAGAACCAAGGCAACCCCCACAGTAAGCAAAAGACTGCCGGGTGGAGGTAGGCGGGCTACACATACACACACAAACACATATATCATGTTTTATTTTTTTTTACCTGGTTTAATTTGAGATTGTTTGTTTTGCTTTCTTTCTCTGAACCCCTCATTTCGGAAGACCCATGAAAGACGCTTAACACTGAGCTCCCCAACCCTCCAGTGCCCCCGAGGACGCCTTCCTCGGAAAAGCGGCTGTGTGCCGGACCCGATGGCCCCAAAGAACTGCTCTGCGGTTCCTCGGCTGCCTAGCAAGCCGCAAGGACCTAAGGCGCAGGAGCCGAGGAAGTAACCTTTCCCTTGCCCTCGTCTGTCCCTCCTCACTTCCTCCCCCCCCCCCAAAACTTCACTCAGACTCCCAACCACACACAGGTGACAGGTCTATCCTTCTCCTAAATCGCCCATGGTCTCTTTATAGTGTTACCTACGGGGTGGGGGGGGGGGGGGGGAATGCTAGGGTCTCAGAAATACATGACACAGCCAGGCAGGGATGTCTCTGGAAAGTAGTGCCTCGCCTCTTCCTCCTCCATTTCCTGCTTTCCTCTTGTATCCACTCCCTCCACTCTTACTCTCCACTCCCCTCCCTTTTTTAAAACGTTTTTTTTTTTTAAAAGGTACAAACTTTAATCAAGAGGAGAAAATATTGACGTACAAAACGAACATGATCCAATACAGTGCGAAGGGGACCGGAAATGTGATATATTTGCTTTAAGAGGCGAATTTGGGATAAAAAGATCTGGTGAGTTGGGAGGGGGCGTGAGAGGTGGGAGAAAGGATAAGGTGCCGGGGTGAAGCGTCCTCCTGCCTGTATCCCTGCGCCGGCAATGGCACTGGGTGGAGTGGGGGAGGAGAAGGGAGCAAGAAGGGGGAGGAAAGGAGGAAAGAAGGGAGGGTGAGAGGTGTGGGTGAAGAGAGAGGGGAAGGAATCTCGGGATTGGATGACTGAGAGAGAGACGCTCCCGCACGCCGCCGGCTCTGATTGGCCGACCGGTGGGAAAGGTTAAACCAAAAATTTTTTTACAGCCCTAGTGTGCGCCTGTAGCTCGGAAAATTAATTGTGGCTATAGCCGCCTCGATCGCTGTCTCCCCAGCCTCGCCGCCGCCGTTCCGGGACGCGCCCGCCTGGTCTCCCCCCCTTTGGGCTGCTGCTGCTGCTGCTGCTGTTACTGCTGCTGCTGCAGCAGGAGGAGGAGGAGGAGAAGGAGGAGGAGGAAGAGGAGGAGGAAGCAAAAGGGGGGGCTGGGTGGGGGGAAGACCATGAAGTAGAGTTGGGAGCGAGAGAGCTTCACCGCCGGGGCGGGGGTTGTTTTTTTTTTTTTTCTTCTTTTTTTCTTTTTTTCTTTTTTTTTTTTTTTTAAATTTCCTGAGGGGTGGTTGCTGCTTTTGCTACATGACTTGCCAGCGCCCGAGATTGCGGTCCAACTGCGCTGCTGCCGGTGCGCTCAGTGCTACTGCCGCTGCCGCCGCAAGTGCCACCCGCGCCCCGCTCGGCACCCTTCCGTCGCTGCTGCCGCCGCCGCCGCCGGTCCGCTCCCGCGCCCCCGTCGCTGCTGCCACCACCACCACCGGTCCCGCGGGCACAGCCACCGCCGCCGCTTCCCCCCAGAATAGTGGGTGATGTTGGACATGGGAGATAGGAAAGAGGTGAAAATGATCCCAAAGTCCTCCTTCAGCATTAACAGCTTGGTGCCTGAGGCAGTGCAGAGCGACAACCACCACGCGGGCCACGGCCACCACAACAGCCACCACCCTCCGCCCCACCATCACCACCACCACGGCCACCACCACCACCATCACCCGCCGCCTCCACCTCCTCCCCAGCAGCAGCAACCTCCTCAGCAACAGCAACAGCAGCAGCACCCCCCGCCACCCCAACCCCCTCAGGCCCCCCAGGCGCGCAGCGCCCCAGCCGATGACGATGAGGATAAGGGACCCCAGCAGCTCCTGCTTCCTCCACCCCCTCAGGGGGCCGCTTCGGCTGCTACCGCCTCGGCAGCCCTAGACGGGGCCAAAGCTGATGGGCTTGGGGGCAAGGGTGAACCCGGCGGCGGAGGTGGCGGTGGGGCCGGAGACTTGGCCCCGGTTGGGCAGGAGGAGAAGGAGAAAGGGTCTGGAGGGGAGGAGAAGAAGGGGGCGGGTGAGGGCGGCAAGGACGGGGAGGGGGGCAAGGAAGGGGAGAAGAAGAACGGCAAGTATGAGAAGCCGCCCTTCAGTTATAATGCCCTGATCATGATGGCCATCCGCCAGAGCCCAGAGAAGCGCCTCACCCTCAACGGCATCTACGAATTCATCATGAAGAACTTTCCTTACTACCGGGAGAACAAGCAGGGCTGGCAAAACTCCATCCGCCACAATCTGTCCCTGAACAAGTGCTTCGTCAAGGTACCCCGCCACTACGACGACCCGGGCAAAGGGAACTATTGGATGCTGGACCCTTCAAGCGACGACGTGTTCATCGGGGGCACGACTGGTAAATTGCGCCGGAGATCTACGACGTCCCGGGCTAAGTTGGCCTTCAAACGCGGGGCTAGGCTCACCTCCACCGGACTGACCTTCATGGATCGGGCAGGTTCTTTGTACTGGCCTATGTCTCCTTTCCTATCCCTGCACCACCCCCGGGCTAGCAGCACTTTGAGTTACAATGGAACCACATCCGCTTACCCCAGCCACCCCATGCCCTACAGCTCCGTGTTGACTCAGAACTCGCTGGGCAACAACCACTCTTTTTCCACTTCCAATGGGTTAAGTGTTGATAGACTCGTCAACGGGGAGATCCCTTATGCCACGCATCACCTTACGGCCGCTGCCCTGGCAGCCTCTGTGCCCTGCGGTCTGTCTGTCCCCTGCTCCGGGACCTATTCCCTAAACCCTTGCTCCGTCAATCTGCTGGCGGGACAGACAAGTTACTTTTTCCCCCATGTCCCTCACCCTTCAATGACTTCTCAAAGCAGCACTTCAATGACCGCCCGGGCCGCTTCCTCCTCCACGTCTCCGCAGGCGCCCTCCACCCTGCCCTGTGAGTCTTTAAGACCCTCTTTGCCAAGTTTTACAACGGGACTGTCTGGAGGACTTTCTGATTATTTCACACATCAAAATCAGGGGTCTTCTTCCAACCCTTTAATACATTAACATCCCTGGGACCAGACTGTAAGTGAACATTTTACACACATTTGCATTGTAAATGATAATTAAAAAATAAGTCCAGGTATTTTTTATTAAGTCCCCCATTTTCTGTACGTTTGTTCAGTCTTTAGGGTTGTTTATTATTCTAACAAGGTGTGGAGTGTCAGCGAGGTGCAATGTGGGGAGAATACATTGTAGACTACGAAGTTTGGAAGTCAAAATTATAGTAGAATGTGTATCTAAATAGTGACTGCTTTGCAATTTTTATTCAGACACGACAAGTCTATCACTAATTACCACCAAGATTTCCATGTTTTGCAGTATTATAAGTTATCATGGATATACATGGTGGATGGAGACCTTGGAAAAAAAAACACTAAATTATGGGAAAGGTGGGAAAAAGAAGTTTAAACTGTAATTTGTATTTTAAAAGAATTAATAGTAAAGATTCCCAAGAAACGACATTTGGGCCATTTATTGTTTTGTCCTTTTCCTTAAGAAACTGGTTTTTGTTTACTTTTAGACCAAAGATTGGGTTTTAGAAAATGCACTCGGTGAACTAAGTATTTCAAAGAGAAGCAAAAACAAAACATAACAAACAAACAAAAAAAGCACGTTTCAGTTCGCAGCACTGCCCGTTCAAATGAGTCAGAAGGGGACAAAATTAATGATTGCCTTCAGTTTGTGTTGTGTATATTTTGATGTATGTGGTCACTAACAGGTCACTTTTATTTTTCCTAAATGTAGTGAAATGTTAATACCTATTGTACTTATAGGTAAACCTTGCAAATATGTAACCTGTGTTGCGCCAATGCCGCATAAATTTGAGTGATTGTTAATGTCGTCTTAAAATTTCTTGATTGTGATACTGTGGTCATATGCCCGTGTTTGTCACTTACAAAAAATGTTTACTATGAACACACAGAAATAAAAAATAGGCTAAATTCATATATACCTTGATAGTTTTGTCTCTTTTATTAAGTAGAGCTAATCTACAAAAGATTAAAGTTATTTAAAAAAATCAAAAGGATGGCTCTACAGGCCAGCCTTGGATTTAAATAGCTCCTTAGATTTAAATGGAAACTTTTTTATACAAGAAAAAGAAAAAATAGTATTTTCCTCCAAATGGAATTAATCTTTAAAAAAAAAAAGGAGCAGCAGGTTATCAACTCTAGTTATTTTTACTATAGACTTTTTCAGCGGATCTCTTTAAATTTCTATGTATACACAGCAATTTATTAATTTATCTAGTGATATGTGTGCATAGATATTTACTCTGTTTATTTTCCATTCAATTGACAGAATGCTTACTTTTCTATTCACCTTGTTTCAGGCTTCAAAAAATATTTATAGCCTCTGGCTGATTATATATATATATATATATGTATATGGCTAGATAGCAATGACTATAATACACACATATTATACATATGCATATGTAGGTATATGTATATATATGTATACACAGAGAGATCCCTACAGTTCAGGGAGTATTTGCGCTTTTGATGCTGCAAACATTTTGTTTATTAATATTTGTATTTATAGTTTTTAAGTCAGCATTTATTTTTGTGGTTGTTTACCCACAGTGAGAGTTCTAATAAAGATGTGCTAAAGTTGAAATACAATTTTGCTGGAAGTGATCGCCTGATGTAATGACTTTACAGATCAATGCTTATATTTTCTCCCCAAATCCTCAGTTTTAATCTCTATTTATTCAGGTGCAGAAAGATGCTTCACTTTTTTATACCCTTGAAATAAATATTTATTAGTTGACTCTTTACAAATATGTTAGCAATTTTCAACTGGAAGTTTGTCCTATTTACTTACATTGAGTCATACTTCTGTTTTAATTTATAATGGAACCAAAAACAAACAAAAACAAACAAACAAAAACAAAAAAGTTTATTGATGAATGTCACACCTCCCGAAAAACAATTAGAAAACTTTATCGAGAGGTTTACTATAACTAATTGGATCCTGTGGTGATTCTGGGAAAGACAAGTTGTTCATTTGTTACAGTTGTATAGTCTGAAATGTGTTCTGCAGTAATGCAATAAGCCAGCTACTTCTCACAATGGGCCCAATGAAAAATAATCTGTTCTAGAGATCTTATCTGGAAACACTTAAGGAGCTGAATTAAAAAAATAAAAAGCCACGAGGAGTAGAGGCCTCTAGAAGATTTAAATTTGCAATGCAGAATACTTGAATATTTAATATTGTTTGTGGAATGGGGAAAGAGAGAGAGAGAAAGAGAGAATTTTTCTATTGGAAATAACTCCTCCCCAAAAGATCCAAGAGAAGTATGTTTTTTGTTTTGTTTTGTTTTGTTTTTAATGAGGGCTGGAAATAGTAAAGAAGAGATTCAATCAAATTGTCCAGAAAAAAAAAAGTCTTATTTTAAATCTAGATAAGTCTAAATCTCCACTTTCGGGGATTCTGTTTTTTAATGAGTTGGTTAAAGGCTATTACCATTCTTTTCAGCTCAACTACCCCAGAAAATGTGATAGGAACACATGTAAATATGTAATACACCAATAGTTTTATTGATATATCAACAATAAAACATTAAATATATTAAATTTGCAATTTTATTTTAAAGCAGTAATGAAACCTCAAATTCTGAAGTGAAGCAATGAGGGAGTCTCATTTGCATATTTGTGACCTAAACAAACTTAAAGGATTGCTTCTGCTTTTTTATAAGATTGGCATAATGGGTTGTTTAGTACTTTGCTAAGGGTTTTGTTGTTGGGAATTCTAGATGCATATAGGAAATGTGTTCGGATTGTGAAAAGTTTAAACAATGAAACTGAGGTCTTGTACTTAAGTAAAGGGATGTTAATATTAGGAGAAAGGTTTTATCATCACTGATGGGCTTTTTTGTTTCGTTTTGTTTTCATAAATACTTCCTTATTTGGGAGAAAGATGGCATTGTTGGGGTTTAATTTTTGTTTTTGTTTTGTGTTCTTTTTCAAATGCATTTAGTGAATGAGATTTCAATGCCAAACACTGTGCTTTGAGATCAGTAGTAAACTACTACTTAAGAAATTCAGGTGTTATTGACTTCTTTATACTGATGGGAGTTGAGGGCTGGGTGAGTGTTAATCCATACACATATTGAAAGCACCTTTATGGTCTTTTCATTGGAAGCAACTTATGATTTTCAAGTAGAAATTGGGGGAAATGTACACACATATGTATGTGCATAGATGTATCTATGTACATGTAGACATAATATAAATAGAATGATAATTTATAGGATGCTTGTTAAGGCCTAAATACACAAATTTCATTTAACTCAATCTGTGCCCTTATTTCTTCTTAGGGTTATTGTTCTCTAGAAATCTTTTCACATATAGGCAAGACAGTCTGGTTAAAATTAAAACAATTTTACTTAAAACAATTTGTGATGTAATGTTGATCTTTGTTTCCATCAATCTTTATGGAGTAAATGCTTGAAGAAAAATTTTGGGAATTTTTATTTAACTATTTTAAAATTAATGTGTTAGAGAAAAATTAAAGTGTTTCTTAGTTTTAACCCTGTTTGCATTTATTTAGAATTTTTAAAGAAATGAGATCATTACAAATATTCCTCAAAATGTGGAGTCAATGAATTCACTCAGATACTAGATTTATACATTTTAATATGAAAATATAAAATACAAAATAGTATTTTTGAGTTAAAATGTTTAATTGGCCTTAAGGTCGACAAAAATTAAAATAGCATAAACCATTGAATAATATTATAAGTTAACTGCCAATCCAATTTTTTATTTTAAAAATAGTTTGAAGACTCTGAAGTAGGATTTCCCGAATAATCTTTCCTGTAATATAATAGGATTGATATAGAAATGAATATAAAGACTGGGGCCCTAAATGTTCATTGCATTCAGTTGCCTTGTGGAGATTTATTTCCTGTAGTTAGGAACACCTATAGAAAATCAAGAGGAAGGTTTTTTGTTTTTGTTTTGTTTTTTTGTTTTTGGTTTTTTGCAATTCTTTGCTGTTAATTCTCTCTGCATTTAAATTTTTTTTTTTTGTTCATTGATACTACTTCCTTGAGCTGGTTGTCTAATCTTTCATAAATAAAATTCTGGATATACATGTATATATACATGTATGTCTCTCTGTATATATATATATGTATATATATATACACACATGCCTATACACACACAAACACACACACACATAAACACAGAGAACTATGTAAAAATGGTGTTTTCCCTAGCATAATTAGATAAATTGCATAAATCCAAATGGCTTTGCTTCAGGAAAAAATTATTGCATGGAAGCTTAATGGTTCAAGTACTAGGTTCTTGGAACTCAGGAAGAGCTGGTGGTGAACTGGAAGAGCAAAGGGTGAAGGTGAAGATCATTAAAGGTTCCAGAGCTGGCCGAGACTGTTGGGGTGGTGTAACTGTGCCTGGAGGGCGGGGTTCCTGTACATTTCCTACCTCGCTGGATCACCTGCGCTCAACTCGACTGCAGCTTACTTATAGACGGATTGGACCTTTCACCAAGAAAACGAGCCCAGCCATCCCACCTGGCAGCAGGGTAGGTGAAACGCAAAAGAAAACCATCTTCTTTTCATTACCCTATTTCTGATGTGAAAAGAAAAAAAAAAAAGACAACCACATCGCGCGGGCGCACACACAACACTTTCATCGCCCTTTCCCAATAACCGTCTATACAGCCCAATATATATGTCTCCACCGCCCAAGCTTCCTGTTATTTTCGCGTATGATAAACGATTTCCCTTTTTCCAGGATCCCTCTTCCTGTCCCACAATGCCGGTACCCTTCAAACCCTGGTATATTAATCCAGCGCTTTTTTTTTCTCCTATAAAGTTTGAACTTTTCACTACGCTGATGGTCAGTTCTAGCTTTTGATATAGTGGGTGAAGTTTATGGGCTCCTGGGAGAGAAGGGAGTGTTACTCGAATGGTGATGAAGGGTGTGTGTGTGTGTGTGTGTGTGTGTGTGTGTGTGTGTGTGTGAGTGTGTGTG